TAATCGTTAAATACTAATTGTCACGTCGGGATTATGGTTTTCGAGATTTTGGGTGTCGGGATTTTGTGGTAGAACCGTGAAACACTGTTTTTATAGCCTTCAAACTTTCCAAAATCAGCCGGGCTTTTTTTTCCGCACCCTATGTATAATCAAGCCTTGACCGTTGGTTCGCCATATATTATATGCTAGCTAAACTCATAGCACATTAATATTCTCGCAGCCACAATTTGTTAAGGGTAACTTGTTATAGTATATTAATTAATTATACGTAGAGGCACCAAATGCATAGGGTAAAAAAAAATTTTAATAAATATTACAGTATATATATATTTACATATATAGTACGTAGAATTTTTAGCGTTAGAATTTTTGTCAAAAATAAGCATTTGTGAAGAAAATTTTGCTGACCTATCTACGTAAGCTTATAGTTTGAGGTTTTTTTTTATAATCAGATCCACTTTTTAAAAAAATAAATTAGATACTTTTAACCAAAATTGTAGCTACGTCTATAATCAAAGAAGGTAACAAATAAGAATCCTGAAAGAGGCCAACTGCCGCTATAGACTGTGCTTTAGCTAAATGCCGGCATAACTCCGATGCCTTCCGACCCGGATTGCTCTGTAAAATTGGTGATCTGCAGGTCGTTTGCTAAATTTTAGTGGTATCGGTATCCTTTAAATACAGGAAATTCGTATGATAGTTAATAATCCGCTTGATTTCAAACCTTTCGTGATTTCGCCTCATGTTTCTTTATAACTTAACTTTACAACCTCCAACCACAATTAATGTTGCTGTGGTTGGTCACTTTTCAGGAACGAAGCAACAGGAGATTGTTGTTTCTAGAGTAACGCGCTTAGAATTTCTTAGGGCTGATCCAAATTCGGGCAAATTACAAACTCTATTAACCCATGACGTTTTTGGGATAATTAGATCTTTGACACCTTTTCGTTTAACTGGAGGCTCAAAAGGTGCGGAGTTCTACCATCACAACAAAGAGCCTTACTTTGGTGCATTCAAACTACCTTGAGGGTATGCTCGAGTTTTAATGTCGGGCAGTAATATTAACTTATTAGATCGTTCATTTGCACGTATATATCGAATATATTTTTATAGATTATATTATAGTCGGATCCGATTCAGGTCGTATAGTCATTTTAGAATACAATCCGGCAAAGAATAAATTTGATAAAATTCATCAAGAGACTTTCGGAAAATCTGGATGTCGACGAATTGTGCCTGGACAATACTTGGCTGTAGATCCAAAAGGGAGATCAGTTATGATCGGTACGTGTTATTGATTTAATTTGTTAAAACCTGTTTAATTAATCACGGCCTAATTTTTTTTCCCTCAAAGGCGCAATCGAAAAACAAAAACTTGTTTACATTCTTAATCGTGATTCTGCGGCTAATTTAACTATATCTTCGCCATTGGAAGCTCATAAATCACATACATTGGTACATCATTGTATAGGTTTGGATGTTGGTTTTGACAATCCTGTCTTCGCTTGTTTAGAAGTAGATTATTCTGAAGCTGACCTTGATCATACGGGTGAGGCTTTTAATAATACTGAAAAGGTAAGCACTGCAACTATTATTGCTATTATATATTTGTCCGTTGTATTATGCTTATAATGTTATTGATTATTAGATGTTAACGTATTACGAATTGGATCTTGGTCTAAATCATGTTGTAAGAAAATGGAGTGATCCAGTTGATGCACGAGCCAATATGTTATTTGCTGGTAAATATTCTACAAATTCCGTCATTTCTAATATACTTACATAATATCTGCGTGCTAATTTTATTGCTAAATATAATATAATAGTTCCTGGTGGTAATGATGGTCCTTCTGGCGTACTGGTTTGTTCGGAAAATTTTATAACGTACAAGCACCAACATGCACCTGAACTTCGTGTGCCAATTCCACGGCGCAAGAATCCGCTAGAAGACCCATCGCGCGGGCTCATAATTGTTGCTGGTGTTATGCACAAGATGAAAGGAGTTTTCTTTTTTTTACTACAAAGTGAGGAAGGTGATATATATAAAGTCACACTTGACTACGAGGACGATAAGGTGAAGGCAATTAAAATTAAGTATTTTGACACCGTGCCCATCGCTGCATCATTATGCATACTCAGAGCTGGTTTTCTGTTTGTAGCTGCGGAATTCGGAAATCAGTATGTTGTTTGATTTACGTCATCATTATGTTACTATTCAAGATTTTCGCAATATCTAATTGTTTCTTCCTTTCTTATAGCCGACTATATTCATTTACAAGTCTTGGTGATGATAATGACGAACCAGAGTGGTCCAGCGAAAATTTTATGGACACCGATCTAAATCATCCTGCGTTGGCATACTTTACCCCGAGAGAGCTACAAAATTTAGAACGAGCTGATGAATTGGAAAGCCTAAATCCACTAATTGATGCCAAGGTACCATTCTTCAATTTCGTTCATATATTTAATGTCGCGCTGATACTGAGATTTTGAGATCTCAATTCGAGTCTACTAAACCTACTAAATCATACTTTTATTAACAACTCTAACCATGAATCCTAACCTAACCATAAAAAAACAAAAAAAAATACCCAAAAATTTTTAAAAATTTCATATCAAAATAAGGACAATTCCTAGCCGATCTCAGCTTCAACCGCGACATTTAATACATATTTATGTTCAATTCAATTGATGTTTCAAGTTTGTATCATTGTAGGTTCTGAACCTTACAGATGATGATACACCGCAATTGTACGCTTTATGTGGAAGAGGCTCCGGCTCAACTTTCCGGATATTAAGGCATGGGCTAGAAGTATCTGAGATGGCGGTTTCTGAATTACCTGGCAACCCTAATGCCGTTTGGACCACTAAACTTAGATCCGATGGTACGTTAAATGCAGATTTTCGCTCAATGTCAACTTAAATAAAAAATTATATATTGAGAGATATTAATTTGATTAGCATTTCATAGATGAATTTGATGCATATATTATTGTATCATTTGTGAATGCAACATTGGTACTATCCATCGGGGAGACTGTTGAAGAAGTAACTGATACCGGATTTCTTGCTACAACGCCCACGCTGGATGTTCATCAACTTGGTGACGATGCATTACTCCAGGTAAAATATTAAAAAATAACATCTCTGTAATACTTTATCTTTCTTATATTTATTCGATATTTTATTCATTTAAAAAAAGATATATCCTCAAGGATTGAGACATATCCGTGCTGATCGCCGCGTAAATGAATGGAAAACACCTGGCAACAGAGCCATAGTGAAAGCTACAACCAACAAACGTCAAGTTGTTATAGCATTAACTGGTGGTGAGCTCGTTTATTTTGAGTTAGATAACCAAGGACAGTTGAATGAATATCAAGAACGCAAAGAAATGACAGCGAATGTACACTGTTTGAGCATTGGAGAAGTTCCAGAAGGGAGACAACGGTCAAGATTTTTGGTAAGTTCGATATTTAATGTTTGTGTTATGATTGTTGGGTTATAAACGTTCAGGAAATAACGGTTATCATGTACCATAATAAAGGCCGTAGGCTGTGATGACAATGCCGTTAGGATCCTTTCTCTTGATCCTGACAATACTTTAGAGGTTCTTAGTACACAGGTGAATAAATTATCGCAATTTCTTTCGTTACTATTAAATCTCTACACAACTGATCAACTTTTGCTATAGGGTCTAAGCGCACCTCCACAATCTTTATCCATTATTGAGATGATGGATATTGGTACTGATGCTTCACATGGAACGCTCTATCTTAATATAGGATTACAAAATGGAGTATTATTGCGAACTGTATTGGATACGATAACTGGCGCATTGACCGATACTAGACAAAGGTATTTGTTCAATTATGTTTATATTGCGAGTGCAAATAGGTAAAAACTTATAACTATTTGATTAATTGTAGATTTCTCGGTGCTCGACCAGTTAAACTTTTCCAAGTCAAAATTCAGGGATCTCCTGCAGTTTTAGCGCTGTCAAGTCGACCTTGGCTGAGTTATACTTTTCAATCCCGATTACATCTCACACCACTTTCATATGATATGCTGGAATATGGATCCAACTTCACTTCACCACAAGTTCCGGAAGGTATTGTGGCAATTTCTGCCAACACTTTGAGAATATTTGCTGTGGAAAAGCTAGGGACAGTATTTAATCAAGCAACAATACAACTTAAATATACTCCACGTCACTTTATCCTTCATCCAATTTCGAGAAATTTTGTTATAATTGAGAGTGAACATAATACATTTTCACCAGCGGAGAAGGAAAAGGCATTGGAAGCTAAAGTAAAAAATGGATTTGAATATGATCCTAAATTATTGGAATTACCTCCGGAGACGTTTGGTTTACCCAAGGCGGAGCATGGAAAATGGGCGTCATGCATCCGTGTTCTAAACCCATTCCAAGGTGAAACAATGTCATTAGTCGAACTTGAAGAAAATGAGGCAGCATTTAGGTATATATATATTATGTGTGTTTCACTTTATATTCGAGTATGCTAATAGATCTTTTATATAAAAGTATTGCTACAGTAAACTTTCATGGACAAAATAATGAATTATTCCTTGTTGTTGGTACCGCAAAGGATGCAAATTTGGCACCACGCACATGTTCAGCAGGATATTTGCATGTATACCAATTCATAGACGAAGGAAACTCTTTAAAACTTGTACATAAGGTAAATCCTATATAATTTATACATTGTATGCCTACACTCTATACTGAACCCTCGGAGCTTATTAAGAAAATGAAAAAGATTCAGTTTAAGTGTCTTACCGTATAGCACTGCTTATAGTATCCCCGAAAATAGTATCCTACCACATAAAGTACCCCCCTTATCCACAAATGAAATCGCTGGATTCGTGAATAGTACCCAGTACTATTCAATTTTCAAAATGGGGTTCTTGAATAAGACCCCTGGTACTATAAGCAATGCTATAATACGGTAGTGTCTAAACCTAGTCACTAAATTTAAAATTTCAAGTTTTGATTTATATAAATTCAGTTTAGAGAGTTGACTGTATATGGTGAATTTAACTAACCGGCTTTTTATTCGCATTTGTTTATGTAGACACAATGCGATGATATCCCTTTAGCACTACTAGGATTCCAAGGGAGACTTATTGCTGGTGTTGGAAAAGCATTGAGAATATACGACATGGGTAAAAGAAAATTGTTACGGAAGTGCGAGTCAAAGGTTTGTTGTTTTCCTTATAGAATTTTAACTATTATTGCCTTGTAATTAAACATATATGATTTGCAGGCGATTCCAAATTGCATTGTTAATTTACATACGCAAGGAAATCGCATTATTGTTTGCGATATGCAAGAATCAGTTCATTATGCATCATACAGACCACACGATAATCGTATCATTATTTTCGCTGATGATACCACACCGAGGTGGATAACAACCACAACAATGATAGATTATGATACACTCGCTGGTGGAGATAAATTTGGAGATTTCTTTGTTGATCGGCTACCAGCAGAAACAAGTGAAGAAGTAGATGAAGATCCTACTGGAAATAAAATAATGTATGAAAAAGGATATCTGATGGGCGCCCCACATAAGGTAATTTTCTTTTTATGTATAAACACCAATGATTATATACATAATAAATTGTTAATTGTTCATATTAAATGCTACGCAGGTATCTATGATTGTACATTATCATGTGGGGGACATTATCACATCCCTTCATCGAACAACACTTGTTGCTGGCGGGCGTGAAATTCTAACATATACTGGTGTAATGGGTAGTATTGGAGTATTTGTTCCATTTCTGACAAGGGAGGATATAGAATTTTTCCAGACCCTTGAAATGCACATGAGAAACGAAGCACCACCTTTAGCTGGACGTGATCACCTTCAATATCGCAGTTTTTATGCTCCTGTGAAAAGTATGGTTGATGGTGATTTGTGTGAACAATACAATTTATTACCAATGGATAAAAAGAAAATGATTGCTGAGGAGTTAGACCGTACTCCTGCTGAGATACAAAAGAAAATTGAAGATATGAGAGTAATGGCAGCATTCTAATTTGAGATGGTAAAATTAGTTTAGGTTTGGTTTAGGTTTTAAACCTTTAGATTCCAAATTAAAAATATAAAAACTAGGTTCTCATATAATAAGTTTTAAACCTAAGCTAAACCTGGTTTGGTTCCGAGCCAAATTTAAAATCTGACTTTCAATATTTTGTAAGACAAAAAAATAAAAATTTATCAAAAAGTTAATTCATATCAAGCTTTTAGAATATACGTATATATTTGATTTTCTGAATAATATGCTAATACGTATTGATTTATTTAATTGTTGATCCAGTTAAGATTTTTTAAGCCTTTTTAAATACAGGGGTTTAAAATCATAATAAGCAAACTTAATATACAACGTAGGGGTATTGCCACCCTCTTTAATATATTAATTTTGTACTTTTTAACCTCTATTCATTAAACCGTCAGATGATGATACCTTTCTCAATTTTCATATCTGTAAACATACTACGTATAATTCTAGAATCCGATATAGTAAGGAATTTAAGATTACTTCAACTTCTAATATGTAACGGTAAAAGTTGGAGATAATTATGGTTCTAATAGTAATTGAACCGCTAAAATTGGTTTAATAGATCACAAGATATTGATAAAAATGTCTTTCGATAGAATTTTTTTTATATAGCTAATGTACAAAGACACTACTGTCCGATTTTAGTGGTTCAATCGCTATTAGAACCGTAATTAACTCTTATTAAAATCACTACTTACCATAATGACCCCTGGCATATATAGATTAATTTTTTGGTTATAAAAATTTAAAAAAATGACTTAGCACCCGGTTTTTCAAACATTATATGTAAAAATTTGTTCTCATTTTTTGAAAAAGCCATCCAAATAGCAAATATACAAAATTTTTTTATGCTTACGTAGCAAAATTTGGCCTAATGCGTATACACTTCTACGTACAAAATAAACACTTGTTTTCAAATAATATAGTTAATTATTTTAAAAGGCAGTATGATAGCTTTTTATAAAAAAAAATTTTTTCTAATAGAATGTTATATTTAACACAGAATATGTTAATTGGAAGGGTATATAGAAAGATATTCTGTATAAATATTATCGTCAACCTTAAATTTAATTATTAATTGTATCGAAATGTTATCTATTCTACATAACCTCTAAACAGAGTAGAAAAAATACATTAAAGTATCCCGGGTAAATTATTATATATTTTTGATAAAAACCCTACACAGATACAATGTCTAAAACAATCGATATTCGCTCAAATTTTTCAATACCAAAAAAAAAAAAAAAAAAAAAATCCTTAAGGCAACAAATTAATGATCCGAACGAATCTTAAACTAGTTTAATAATTTTAGTCCAAAAATTTAATGATTTGAAGTAATTAAAACCGTCAAGAATCCGTAAATTATGCCTCTCTACGCTCCCAAAAAAAAAAAGAAAAAAACTAACTTGGGACAGGGACAGCAGAGGCAATCGACAAAACATTTCTAACCAGTAATTCATCACCAGATTCAATAGCAGAATGATATTCCCTTAATAAATTATCAACATCCTCCATTTTTAATGGTCGAATATCCGACAATTCCTTAATTTTAGCAGTAATTGTCTTGACTTGGTCATCGGTAAGACTAAGTCCCAGTTGTTCAACACGATTTTTGACGGCATTCCATCCAGTTAAACGATGGCAAATGTTTACGTATCGAGTCATACTAAGAAAATGTAAAAAATAATTAAAAAAATAAATTTTCGGAAATTAAAGTTAATGAATGCATTTACTTACCCAAAATCTTCAGGTTTCAAAATTTCATAAGTACTTGGATTGTTCAAAATTGCCTTTGCGTGAATACCAGCTTTATGCGTAAATGCGCAATAACCAGTAATGTAATTGTTGAAAGGAACTTGAACATCGACAGAATCAGCCACCAAATTTTCAATGTCACGAAGCATGTGGAGTTTATACTTCGACTTGATATAGTCCTTGTCCGCAGTGTACATACGTGCGATTAATCCTCCAAGTGGTGTTATTCCATTACGTTCACCAATACCCAAAATGGAGGTGTCAATATGAGTCGCACCAGCTTCAAGAGCTGAATTCATAAACGTTTCATGTTAATAAAAATTGATAATATAAAAATTAATAACCAAATGATGAATAAAATCATGTACCAGCATAAGCATTAGCTATGGCGCAACCAGTGTCGTTATGAAAGTGACACTCAATATCACAAGAAACAACGCCACGTAAAGTTCTAACCAATTCATAAACTTGACGTGGATTTGCACAACCAACCGTATCAGCAATACCAACTCGATTAACACCAAGTTTGTCTACTGTACGATAAATGGATAATAAATCGACTAAATCACTTCTAAATGAATCTTCAGACGAAAATCTGACTTCAATCCCCTTGGATTTAACAAAATTTATGACTTCAGTAGCTTTTTTAGCAATATAGTCCATATCTTTGCCATGAGAAAATTCACGAAGATATGAAGAAGTTCCTATTACGACATCAACACCATCAACACCTATTCGTGCATGATAAATAGTAAATATATAACAATGACGTAATAAACAAAAAAAAAAAAAAGGATAATCTATAAAAAAAAAATACCAGTTTCGACGGCGATTTTTGCATCATCCATATGACATCTTATATGAGTTAAAATTTTTGCTTTGAGTCCTAATTTACATATCGCTTCACAATCTAGTCTTGATTGTTCTGAAGCGGCAGGTGATGTAAGTTCAATATACTCAACACCAAATTCATCTAAAGCTTTAGCAATCTCTATTTTTTTATTGGTATCGAAAAACGCATTGGCAAATTGTTCACCCTCTTTTAAGAGAAGAATAATTGATAATTTAATAAGAAATATTCAAATTTAATTTTCTTTTTTTTTTTTTTAAACAAAAAATAAAATATTAACCTCGTAAAGTGGATTCAATAATACTAAAATTATTAACGCGACTTAACAAATCGTAATATCGTGTGTAAACGTTAGGTTGAAGTTTCCTAACTTCACTTCCGTCGGCGTTTGCTCTAATTTCTGCGTTTGTTCCTGTCGCTTGCATTTTTTTCTCTTTTTTTTTTCTTTTTTTTTTTTTTATTGAAATGAGAAATTATTTATTAAAAAAAATGGCGCTACGTTACTATATAATTTAAATTCGGATGTTGAATTAATCCGGAAGTTACACGAGAAGCATGATAATCTATTGAATCTTATTTTCGCTAGGTCATTAAAACGCGGCTTATCCTGACTCATATTTTATCATTATTGAAGGCGTAATGAAGTTCCCAGATTTGAGGTATTTTCTTCGTTTATAAATTAAGAATGAAAACCTAAAGAAACATTTTTTTCGATTCTTGTTTTTAATCGAATGTTAAAATATATATCATTAGGAAGCTTGTTTAGATAGTCAATTTGATATTTTTTTTCTCTTGTTTCGCTTTTTTTGAATTATGTTAAGGGATTCCGTTTATGAAAAACCGTCAAAGCCATATACACAAAATCTATAATTGGTAATTTTAACCATCTGGTCGATTTGAAAAACAACCGAGGTAACCAGTACACGATTCTATATAGCGATAGTGGCTGTATTTGTAATTGCTAGATAAATATAGGCTTTTATTTGTTTTACTATTTATATTATATATTTTGTGTTGGGGCTTATTAACTTTATTCATAATATAAACAATAATTTATTAATGTTACGGTTAAAAAGAACTTCCTTATTTAAGATTGTAAATCAGCATGAATGAACCAAATTCGATTCATTGTTTGGTCAATAATTTTGATTGGCTAAAGTCAAAAAAGAACTAACGATATTAATTTTATTTAAAAAAATTAACGTAATAATGATAACATTATATTATATCCGAAATAAGTAGGTGGGATGACTGGATCCAACTGGATACAGTTAATATGAAATATACAGAAATATACGACGTACGTAGGTAATTTTCTAAATTTTTGCGTATACGTACTTTAGCGTTAGTTCAAAAGTTTAAAACTTAGTGTAACAATATTTTTTACAATAGCAGATAGGCAAAACTTACGTTTTTGAGACACCTGCACTTACTTTTTTGATACTCCTAGATTAGGGATGCTATCCTGTTCCAACGTTTACTGTACGATTTCTCGAAAGCTAACAAAATGCTAACCCTAACCCTATGTGATGTCGGGTAAATAGTTTTCGGCAAAGTGTGCTTCGGGAAAATGAGAATCAACGGTTCCAACTGGTTAATTTGTGCTTAAAAACACTGCTCCAAACCATATACGTGAAACGTTATATCGCTATTTAAAAGAGCAAATACATGAATTTTATATTTGTAAAATATACATATAATGCATTTACAATATTTGTTACGTACATCTATCACTACGTATTACTTATTTATTGACCTATACAATAACGATAATACCTAATTTACACAGTCGATAATACCTGATTCATACTACGTTTTTAAGCAAAGGCTTGCAGAAACATTTTCTTCAGATAAGCGATTACGAATTGGATTAATCGTATTTTTTGCATTAGAAAACCGACTTATAGTGGAAAGGCCCGTATCCAATGAATAAGATTTATCGCAATATTCGCATTATCGCTTATCGATGGTTTTATTAACTTCATCCGAAAAGGAATCGATTTTATTCGTTTTGGAGTGTGGTTGGTTATTTCCGAAAGTGCTTCGGATTCAAGTGTATTTTGAGAAGTCGGAGAGGAAAGTTCAATGAGGTTAATAAATGAATCAAGTGCGCTTTCTTCATCCATTTTACGAAGTAAAGATATGAAAAAAAAAAACGCTTATTTATTAAAAAAAAAAAAAGTAAAAAAAATCCAATTTTTTCCTATCGCTATCAATGTTGTAATTAACTTTTAACTAAAAGAGGCTAATTTTCATAATGCCATGATAATTAACCAATCGAAAGAAGCTATGTTTCGTCAATGACGGCAGTTAGAGCTTGGATCCGGTCATCCGTTTTCATATTAAATTTAACGAATTTTACTATTAAATTTGCATCCAACGGATAACCGGATCCAAGCTCTAACGGCTTGCTCATCCAAACTCGATTTTAAATAACATAATAAAAATCACATGATCGCCAAAACTCGAGTTTAACCAACAGAGTTCGGGCAAGTAGTAGGCAAGTAACATCCCTATCCTAGATGTACCCTAAAAATTTTTTGAAACTGCAGATCACCAAGCAGGGTGTAGGTTTATTAAATTATAATTTTTGACGGCGATCTACATCAAAAAGGTAAGTGGGTTTTTGCAACAGATAGAAAGCAACCAATTAGAAACAAATTTGGGTTTACAGTTATCGTAACACCTGCTTAAAATCATTGTCTAACGAGATCTAATTTCAGGGGAATCTATTCCCTAAAGTGCAACCCATAGTCCAATAGGAGCTCAAGTTGAGAATTAATTAAAAATTACTTGCATTTCTTCAATTACAAACCTAATTTCCTCCAATATTGATGTTAATCTAAAATGTCACCAAAGTCAGTCAAAGCTTGTAAGAGATTCCCAAATATTTAATTTTGTTAGCCTTTCTTTGTTTGCTAATTCTTTTTATGTATTTATTGAGATAAAAAGACATGGAGGTGGCAACATTATCGCCAGATCAACATCAAGTAAACCTTCGTGTAAAAGTCATTGCACAAATCATGTTTGGTGAAGTGGATGACGGTAATAAATCAAGTTAGTGTGTTTTATCGCCTAATATCCAATTGAGAAGAGTATATGTCCAAATGAACTTTCTTGGCTGAGTTTTATCACGATAAATTAAGCCTTGTCGAAAATCAAAGTAGCCGAATTTCTTGTTGGTGATTCTTCCGGATGCATAATTGTAAAAGCCATTAACGGTATATATCAATTGCTTACACTAAATATTCTCATGTAAATTAAACCCATTTCTATCTACTTCATTATTAGACCAAATATCGCATCTCCAACCGCAAACATGCGTCTTGATTCATAACGCACGAGTGGAAATGTATCGTGGATTCATGCGTATTGTAGTTGATCAAAACACGGATGCAGAAATAAAGCCTTTCGGAGAGGCTAGCGATGATAAAGCCACCCATGCAAATGGCAAAGCTGACGATATACAACCAAACTTGGAAAAGAATTGTTCATTGACTGAATATCAATATGTACCGCACGTGGTTTTAAACGAATAATAAAAGAGGTAAATTTACAATCACATGATAAAAACTAGGTTTAAAACAACTGATGTATTATTATTATGATTTTTGAATTAAGATCTAAACCATTAATGATGATTTCGAAAGGTTTTCTAAGAGTTGCCACTTTAATCCAATAGTTTCAAAGATGCTATATAATTTTGAAATAGACTTAGTTTTTTTTTTTTTTTTTATTGCATACAATAGAATTTAAAATCTATGAATTAAATAGGATACCTGGATTAAATAAGTTCACAGTTATTGTTATTCTGGAATGGTTCCATGAGCCATATACATATATATACATATGTTGTAAGTGGAGACGGAATTTAGTGAATTCGGAATTATATATAAAACCCCCGTTTTGGGGGTTGATTTTATCATATGTACACCCTAACCCTAACCCTAATTTAACTAGGAAATTCCAAATCCACTTAAATTCTATTCCCACTTACAACATATGTATATATATGTATATATATTACTGGTTTTTTTACATATTGCTCTTGGTCTCCCAACGATGCTTTGATTCAAATCTAAATCGTAAAAATCATTCATTCAATAAATTGTATTGTCTAAAACACTTAACAAAAGGATGGTGCATACCCCCATTTCAATTTGGGTTTTTTCTTTTTTGCTTTCAACTCTTCTTCACGCTGTAAATATGATTATTTAGAAATGCATAAAACAATTTGCAATACTTTGATTAAAGACTTTTTATAATTTAATATTTTACTTTTTTTCTCTCATCGTACTCTTTACGTTCTATTGCTTCTCGCATCGTATTTTCATAATTTCTTTGTGCAATTTGGTCGCTTATTTTTGAAGCTAGTTCTAATTCCCCACTCTCTACAGCTTTATCAAGTTCTTTCTCCAATCGACCCTTCACAATTAAAGATGTTAATAACGCTGTACATTATAATGTAGCGAAAACATATTTTAGTTACTTTTTGAGCTAGGCGGCCATGATCTACTCCTTTCAAATGCGAATTCATGTTTACGTATTTTATTAGACCTTTCGGTATTATTGGAGGAATTGTCTGATCTAAAAGGTGTGTTGACGATTGCGAAGTAGTTTGATCTGGTGCAGAGGATGAATCCGAATATTTTCGACCTGATTCTTCCTCTTCTCGACAGTTTGTGAACAAGCGATCGTCTTGCTTATTTTTCTTTTTACTACCACCATTTTGAACTTCTTCTCGTCGTCTCTTTAATTCTTGTAACCGTTTCCATTGTTCTAACTTTACGCCCGGCGGCGGCGGTTTGGCTTCGTTTTCATTCAATTTCTTATGAGGTGAAGTGTCAGTTAAAGAAACTTTAAGTCTAGGTGTAGTCCTTATATTTGGATCGGCCATTGTTAAATAAAAAATATTCAACAGAGTAAAGACAAAGGTTACGAATTCTAACTTCTACGTAACTTCCAGGAATATGGTCTTATGTATTTTTAGGTCTATAGGCTAGCTTTCTTCTGATTGGCCAATTGAATGAAAAATTTTACTAATACTGTACAGCTGTATACAGGCTTTAAAATTTTTTTGATCAAAAGATATCTCAACAACTACTTGATCAAATTTGATAAAAATTTTGTTATTTGAATTTTACAAATTCAAATGAAAACTTTTACGTATCAAAGTTGATAAAGTAGTTGTTATCTATGATCAAAAAAAGTTTAATAAGGTCTAAAGTGGCCCTTTTCCCTTGACAGTGCTCGTATGTATTAAAGCTTCTGATAACGTATGAGAAGTGCTACAGACTGGGTTTAAAATAATTAGGGCTTTGCAGTAGAAAGGGCCTAAATGCTATATATAATATATATAGCATTTAAGCAAAGACCTAATCTTCAGCTGTAATTAAATTGCTGAGATAATTTTCCGGCATTAGAATTAACACGTTTGATCGCCGGATAGATTAGTGGAGCAACCAAAATTCAGCAGACCGACCAAAATTTAGGGTCGGAATAGGCCGGCATTAAGCAATAATACAAACCAACTATATTACAGCAAAATTATCATCTGACTACCATTCCGACCCTAAATTTTGGTCGATCTACTGAATTTTGGTTGATCGCCCAACAATGCTCCGAACTTGTATTGATCATACTCCGGAGCATCTTCCAAGTTGAAACGGGTTTAAAAATACACCTACGTAGTAAATCTGGAGTGAATTGAAGGTTATTCTAATTTTATAGATCGTGTAACGTAATTAGAAAAGATAAATACTGACGAACCCCAATTTAAATTTCTCATCTTTTCCCAATGCCACCTCAAAAAATAAAAACCGATTATGAGCCTATAGATACTGATCCACACTTTACTCGTGTGGTTAGATATTTTAGAAATTCAGATTATTTGGTTTGGGCTGCGACAACAGCTTTTGGTCCCGCTTTTTATTATTTACTTGGTAAGAAAAATGAAAAAAAATCCTCAAAAATTTTTTAATAAAACAATTAACGAATTCAATGTAATCTATTGATTGATTTGGTCTTGATGTTTATAGAATTAGGTGGCCGTGTCCCTACACCAAGTTTAGGTTTTGGTTTAAAACTTAGCGCGTGTGTTGGTGCCACTGGAGGATTTTTACTTGCATATCAAAGGAGCAGCAGTAGGTTAAAAGAAATTCATTGAACATAATTCATTATAGATTTGACAAATGTGCTCATTAAATGTAGTGAGGTTTTGGGGATGGACCGAAAATGCACAAGAATATGAGCGAGATTTAAAAGAAATGAGACAACGTATAAAAGAAGGAAAACCATTATATGGTGTTTCTAGAATGAATGAATATGCTCAAAAGTCATCATCTTGGATGTCTAGATATTCTGCTTTGAGGTTTTGTATGTATATCGTGCATTCTCAAATATTCTATTATATTTTTATAACCTTTTAGATTAACCTAGATAATTGATATAACAGCTGCATTCCCCATATTTAATTTTGTTAACCACAATAACCATGGTGTTGATACAAGCAGATATTATAAAGATCTTGATGACAATGAAGAAAAAGAAGCAAAGATTTAGGATTAAAGGATATTGGTATTATAAATTTGCCAAATCTTAACACAAATTGATTTTGTAATTACTGTATTTAGAGGTAAAATAAATAGGATTTTTGTAATCTGCCGCTATAGTGAAATACCGCCAGACCCCTAAAATTATGTAATTGAAATTTTATCTAACATATATATACTAATATATCTATGTAGCATATATACATATAAGTAGAGGTCTGACCCGATGAATAATATATTCAAACATATAATTGTTTCACTAACTAAATATTCGAATGTAAAAATGATTTACCAAATAATTCAATGAACATATACTTATTTAATTGATCAATTAAAATATAAAATAAAATATTAATATACTGTATATGAGTGTCGCTAAAAGAAAACCCGAAAATTTAAATATGGCTTATATTTAAATTTTCGAGTTTTCTTTTAGCGACACTCATATATTATATATAATTTTGTATTTTAATTGATTAATAATACTAAAAATAAATAGAACTAATTTTCACCCGTGGTGATATCACTCGATATTAATAAATTAAATAACCTTAAGGTTAGGGATTAGAGTTAGCGTTAGGTTAGGGTAAGAGGTATTGTTTACATGTAAAATTTGATGTTGAAAGCTTTGCTTAAAAGTCGAAGCAGAGTTTTCATAAGTTAGGCCATACAAACTTAATTAATTGGTTTTCATAACCCGGCCGGGTCTGTTTAAAAGTTTCATGTTATGAAAACCAATATATTAAATTTGTGTGGCCTTATTGGTTTTTTTTTATTTCTTCGCTTTGTTTTGGTTACGCAAGATCCAGCGATCTGATTGGTTTGACATATAACTAGGTGATATCATACGATGATTTTCTGCGGTGATAAATTACCGTGACAAAATCAAATTCTGCAAAAATTCCATGCATTAAAAATGGCTATTTCTGCGCATTTTTCATGATAAATACTTTAAGATTCTGCGTTAATCATATAAGAAATATATATATATTCTGCAATTAAAAATTTTTATTGCAGTAAAATTCTGAAGATTTTTTTCTAATTCGGCTATCCTGCCCTTGTTTATTTGGGATCAAGTTATTCAAAATTACAAATAATTTATCTCTAACTAAAATAGATCCAACCAAATGAAGAACTCGCCCACATGATTTTATACACTAGGCGCAACCTGCCTCAGTAGCTCTTGACCTCCCTCAGGGTTCTTAACTTATTAAGGACTTTTTCCCATTGTTTATTAGTTGGTGACTACCTGCTCATCAAGAAGCAAAATTAGAAAATAAAACAAAGAAACTAAAAAAAACACAGAGGTATAGGGGACTACGATAAAAGAATACAAAATACAAAAAAAAAAGGGGTAAAAGAATATTGAAAAAAAATAAAAACAAAACAGAAATTTGCTAATCTTAATGCTATAGTTATAAGCCTTGAGTGGTTTGAAAAAATTACATACTGATTAGACAAATTAATCTCTACTTTTATTTTTCTCTAAACTAGTATGTGAAAGTAAAAACCCAATAGAAAAAACTTCATTGACCGGCTTAAAATAGAGAGGTCAGAACAGAGTTTCAGAGTATTGTTTGTACAGATATCTATTATATTTGAGGTATATGTTTGTTGTCACGTTGTAATTTGGGAGTAAGCTAAAACATCCACTTTTTACAAAAATTTCTTCAAAAAAAAGTAGTGGGTCAATGAGAATATATGAGGTTCTTCTTGTAAGTTTTACAGTTGTATAGTCCAGCTTTTCTATTTCTACCACTTAGAAATGTACTTTTGGCTACTTCTACAGACTTGTTTCTAGAATAAACCTTTTGGTTTGAATGCCGAATATTTTGAAGAGTCTGTCAGAAAGAAAACTTGACCCTAAAGAAAAAACTGTCCGTTCTTTTAGCGCTCACTTCTCAATATTTCATGTCTAGACAGCTTAGACTTTGTTAACAACAAGCTGCTCCTATTTATAGAACCAAGTTTTAGTATCTACTTCGTCGCTTTTTTATACGTTTTGTTATAGTTCAGTTTTTGTTGTTGTTGACCAGAGGATCGTCAGAAAGAGTTGTGTTTTTTTTTTGTATATTTGTATTATATTAACCATGCGTCAATAGTAACTGTAATTAATATAATACAAATATAATACAATTTGTATAAAATTCTAAAGTTATTGTTATTAGTATAAGAAGTTAAATAAACTATACTTACTTCTTAACACCTTCTATTTACTTCTATTTTTTTTTTATTTAGTATAAATTTTCTGTGTATTGTTTAATTTTCTATAATTCGTGTTGATGTCAATGAAGGTTTTTGAGAATATAATTTAATTCACTCAATTTAAACCTAAAATTGCTCTTCAAGACTTTACTAATAGCGGGCATAATATTCTTGGACATGTGACAAGATATTTTAGCTCATTTTTTAATATGATCCAAACACAACAAATTGTTAAGGCCACTTAAGATTTAAATAATTTCAACCTATACATTAAAATAAATATTAATTAAACCAATAGCTCTGTTATTTAAAAATGAGTACCATTAAGTAAAAACTAGGAAGTTTAAATATTATATTACAAAATAACTATTATTTTATATTTAAACTTCCAGATTTTCACTTGCTAATATTCATTTGTCATATACATAAAACAATTTATACTGCTCTTTATTTATATCTTTCAAAATCTCATGTGGCTTTTTAGGATAGCTGCCAGGTGGTTCAGGAGATACTGATGAGTTTTGACAGTTATTATCATTATGTTACTATTTGGCTTTGTTATTTTTGTTAGTAGTGGTGTTGGAACCTGTATTACTAGTGGTGTCATTTGACTCAATATTGTTAGTGCCGGTGTTAATGCCAGTGTTGATGTTGGTGTCAGTGTTGATGCTGGTTTTGGTGCCGATGTTGGTGCTGGTTTTGGTGCCAGTTTTAGTGCTGATTTTGGTGATAAAGGAGTTGGTAGAGATATTGATATTAGCTTTATTGGTGCTAGAGGGACGAATGTTGTTTATTTCATCCTTTAGGTCTATCAAATCACAATTATTTAATGGTTGTAAAAGACTAGTAATACTGCTGATTCTAATTTCTTCATAGCTTATATAATTATCAGCATTATCATAATAATATTGGTTGCTTGGTTAAAAAATGCACTTGGTGTAGAGGGTCAAAATGATCTTTTTAACTCTTTTACTTTGTTAAATAAAGTATGAACCATGTTTATCAAAAAACTTATTACTAAGATTATAAAATAATTTGTTAGACCTATTGGTAAATCAATAGCTTTATAAAAAAAAAGAAACTTTACTGAAACTTGCAAAATTAAATTAATTGTAAATAGTATTAATATTGCTTATTTACAAGTTTCTGTAAAGTATAAAAAACTTCATATAGCCTTATTTCACCTTCATCATTTTTATCCCATAAACTAGAAGGCGCTTGGAACATTTATTATTTCTATTATTTGTCAGGGACCTAGATCTAGACCATTGATACCTGCTGCAAATGTTAATTGCATCTTTAATATATCGTAGATAGAGTTGCAACCTATTATTAAATTTTATATTTAAAAAGTATGAATGTTGTAAATAATAGAAATATTATAATATCGCAATGTTGCAACATCATAATAATGCAATATCACAATATTACAATATGATATAATCTTATAATATCATAATGTTGTAGTATATAATTTTGTTGTAATGTTGTAATATATAATTATGTTATAATATTGTAAAATATAATTATGTAATAGTACGAAATAATATACTAAATTGAATAAACAATATAACATAATTAAAACTTTAAATTATATGTATGTTATATATAATTAATAACAATCATAAAAAAAAAGACGCAGAGTTAATAATAGCAGTAATGAAGGAATTGGACCTAGCGGTACTACTGGTCTTTCGCAACCATTAAATAATTGTAATCTAATAGACCTGGAGGATAAAATGAACAATATTCGTCCCTCTAGCACCAAGACCAGCACCAGCATCAACACCAACACTGGCACCAACACCAATACCGGCACCAACACCAACAGTGGCACCAAAACAAGTACAAAACTGGCACCAACACCGGCACCAACACCAACACCACACTAACACTGGCATCAAAACTGGCACCAACACTGGCACCAAAACCAGCACCAACACCAGCACCAACACCAACACCGGCACCAATACCAGCACCAACACCGGCACCAACACTACAAGCAACAATAATAACAAAGGCAAACAGCAACATAATGATAATAACCGTCAAAATGCATCAGTATCTCCTGAACCACCTGGCAGCTATCCTAAAAGGCCACATGAGATTTTGGAAGATATGGATGATGAGCAGTATAAATTGTTTCATGTATATGACAAATGAATATCGGCAAGTGAAAATCGGGAAGTTTAAATATAAAATAATAGTTATTTTGTAGTATAATATTTAAACTTCCTAGTTTTTACTTAATGGCACTTATTTTTAAAGAAATAACAAAGCTATCAGTTTAATTAATTTTATTTTAATGTGTAGGATGAAGTTATTCAAATATTAAGTGGCCTTGACGATTCATTGCATTTGGATCATACCAAAAAATGGTTCGAAATATCTCATCACGTGTCCAAGAATATTATGCCCCTGTTAGTAAAGCCTTGAAAGGCAAGTTTAGATTTAAATTAAGTGAATTAAATCATGTCCTCAAAAACCTTCATCAACACAGACACAAATTATAGAAAATTAAACAAGACCCCGAAAAATTTATGCTGAATAAAAAAAGAATAAAGGTAAATAGAAGCCGTTAAGAAGTAAGTATAGTCTATTTAACTTCTTACTAATAACAAATAACTTTGGAATTTTATACAAAATTGTATTATATTTGTATTATATTAACTAGAGATGCGGTTTAGTTGCAGGGAGTAAAAATAGTATTGTAACTATGTATTTGTAAGTGTGATAAGTGTAATAGATTTACTAATGATGGATTTATGGTTTTATTTTGTTATATATTGAATTTGTAATGTAGTA